AATTATAATTGACAATTAAAGTTCAAAGACTACATTTGCAATTAAATTAATTTTGACCTAATTACACATGGATTGGAATTCTTCGTCCATAGGGGTCAAACTCTCACATTAAAAGAGTCGAGAGCCATTTTTGGAGAGAAAAAAAGTAGAAAATTATTCTATCGATTCTTTCTTTACCTGTTCAGATTAGAATTTGGTTTTAATTTAATTGAAAGAATGTACCTAAATGTTGGTATAGTGTTGACTTTGAAGAACAGCATTGAATATATGAAGATTTGAAACGTCAATTTTTTGGAATCAAAACCTGAATGCTTGTGATTTAAATCGGATAAAAAATTAATTACTCAAATTTAGGCAAATTCCAAATCTTTATATTACATATGAGCATCTAATAACAATCTTGAATTTTAGAATTAAAGAAATGCTTTATTTTCAGGTTTTGTTCTGCATTCTAAGAACTAACACCACCAGAATTATTTTCTTGTGATGATGAAACATCCTGTGCATAGGATTTAATTATTTTGTGTATTAACTAGAATGTAATAATTTTATTAAAAGATAACATGCATAGATGTTTTATAAATAAGTTTGTTGCGTACTTTAGAAAATCCATTTGAGTTGTTCTTCTTGATCCTCCATTCGAACCCTCGAATCGCCTTCGATTTTCTTCAAGAACTCAATAAGAACTGCAGAGATTTTTATGTGTAATTATACGATCAGAATCAATCACAAGAGATCATTCTTCCCATATACACAAGGGCACATGTTAGTGCTACTTGTCCAGTGCTCGTGGCCGCTAGGTTGGTACGTTCCTATCTCATTGAATTTAATTACTTCCATGGCAGTTCATGATGAAATATAATTCTTATAATTTATTTCAGTTCTTATTTTGAAATTATCGAAGGGACCTGATCAGACCTAACTAAACTAAGCTCAAATAAATTACTTTTTTCGCCTGATTAACTTTTGATCTATAAATTACTGGTAACAAATTTAGGGTGTGTTTGTCACCCATTATTTGGAAAGAATGTATTATACAATAGTGATTGATGTTGAAATGTGTGGTTAAAAGAGAATGAAATGTTTTTGATTTAGGTGTAATATTATTTTAATGAAGAATGTGTGATTGAAAATAAGTACTGTAGAAAAAATAATGAAAAAGAATGGAAGAAAATGAATGACAAACAGGGCTTAATCGTCTACTAGAAAATCCGTTAAGACCATGATGGTATTTATTAAGTAGGTCACATATTCCATATTACAAATACTTGTTCCCATCAACGAGCCTTAATTTGCAAGGCACAAAAATATTGTCCGGTTCTTATATCTTACCTATGATACTTCAAAGAACTTCGAGTTGGTAATTAAAGTCTATTACCTGCTCATGAACAAAGTCCTATGTACGGCATTTAGCCCGTGCTTGACAATCATTATTTCATTTGGGAAAAAAAATAGTGTTTTGAATAGTCATTTTTAGGAGAAAGATGTGATTAAAAGCATAAAAAATATTTGGATTTATGTACAGAATATTTTATTGTGTGAATATGTGGTTGAAAATGAAAATATAGAAAAAAGAATTTGAAAATAATGATTGTCAAACAGAGCTTAAACTTGTGTAATCAATAGCATAAACTGAATTTCACTTGATCTAATTCAATACATTCAAAATATACTCTAAATCTTAGTATTACAAAAGTGAAAGTCAAACTTTAATAAAAATTAAGGTGGTCTTATCAAAATAAAATGTCCTCGTTATTTACTGATCATGGACTATCAATTTCAAGTCGAATTATATATATTAATCTTTCCGTGCTTAACAACTTAAGCACACAATTTTCAATATCAAAATAATCTACGAACAAATGCAAGCGGAAATTAATACAATCATTTTATCAAATAAATTAATATTTGATTTTAAAATATTGTAAGTACAAATAAATTTACTCAACAAATACTATATAATGGAAGCAACCGTATAACCATGGTCAAGTTGAAGCTAATGTCTTTCATGTGCAACAACAATTTTTTATTCTTTATTTTTATTTTTTCCTTTTCTAGGGAAACCAAATTTCCATCTTTTCAAAAAAATAGTGTAAACAAAAATGATATGGCTCTGGTGTCTGTACTTTTTTCATCACACAATAATGACTTTCCCAAAATAGTAGGGGTTCATTAGCATCTCACGTACGGTTGATTGCTTGTTGAGTTGGATCCAACTTCTTTTCAGTTAATTGATGGCTTAAACCTTAACTATGAAGGGAATTCTATCACGAGAAAAACTATAAAGTTGGTGATGAAATAAAAACATCCGAATCAAGATAAGAACAGAATATTAGGTGGTCAAACTATAGTGAGAAATGGGGATGTTTATGTGCTTCGTTAATTCTATCGAGCCTTCTTTGCTAACAATTTTGTTTGTAATGTAAGGGAGTAGCTTTATAAGGATGAAAACAAGTACTCCCAATCAATTGTGTGGTGAAAATCGTATCTTACTTTATACAGAAGAAATTAAACAAAAAAACGGAAAAATATATACGAAAGCAATTCATTCATAAAGGGGAAGCAATTTGTCATCATATCAAAAGAGTAAAGATTTAAATCTTAATTAATTTTTTTATCCATAAAAATGAGAGTTATTCCATACTTGTGTTCTAACTCCTCGAACACCCAACTTTCTTTCTTCTTTTCTTGTCCTAGAATATTTGAAATGCAAAAATTGTTTGTTGGTGATTACCATGTCTCTTACTAGTCTCATAATGACTGTCATTTTAACTTCTTACAACACGTTTATGGTGTAATATGGCTTGCAATCACTTTGCGCAAGCCACTAGTTCTATCCATCGTAAAAACAGCCCACTTTCTGGATTTGATTTTAGAACAGATAGCAATGAGTTTTTAAATTTGATAAGTCTATTATCTCAAAAAGTTAGGAGTATAGGAATGTCTAAACCAAGTCGAAACAAAGGTTTGACCGCAATTTGAATTAACCCCATATGAAAATATTTAAATTTCTTGCTATGAGGTTAAATGGGGTCTTTTGAAAACAGGTTCAAAACTGATCAATATCCTCTTCAAGTCAATGTAAAGAAATTTGTGGTTGTAAAATCTTAAATGTTTTTACTAAAGAAGAAGGATTACATTAAAATTTCTCATGGATCCTTCCCCTAATTCTAAAATAAATCACTCTTGCTTCAAAAAACCTTTTCTAAAATACCCCTCAAAGCAAGAAGACTACACACACACACACACCATGCATAGGTGACACGGTACAATAGATGGTGTAATTAATTTTAAAATCAACCGTTATCTTTCACCGTCTATTATAGTGTGCTACGTCAAACGGCGCTTAGAAAATCATAAAGCCAAACGTGTGCTCTCAAAGATAATATAGATACTTCCAAGGTTTAGTAGGGTTATTCCTGTTCTTGGAAGTGTGGTAGTAGGTTCTTCTGCTCATATACTTTATTTATAATTTCAAATTGTTAGAGATAAATTTACGTAGTCTAGTAATTTTGCTCTATTTCATAATGCCCTTTTTTCTTTTTATTTTATTTGGCTATTTAGATTTTATGTCGGTCAAATTACATTTTGAACCATACATTTCAATATACTCACATATACTGTTCAATTTTTTACGACACATTTCATGATATTCACTAATTTAAAATCTATAAAAATTTTGTCGAACAAGCCTTTACATTTAATCTCCCATGTTCAGGTTGAGAGTGTAATGACTCGTAAATGACACTAAGTGTGAGCTTTTATAATGGAGAAGTTGAAGTGGTTACTGTTGGGTGAAAGATACGTGGCATCATCTTAACGGTCGATGAATCATCCTCTAGGCGTCACTTTTATAGTCCTAAGCTTTGAGAGTAGTTAATGATTCTGAAAAGCGATCATCCTATAGTCTAGGTCTAACATTTGAAAGTAGACTAACAAGTTGACGAAAAGACACCTACTGCACAAAAATCAATCAATTTCACAGAAGATCTTATGCTGAAGATTTCTTGATAGAAGCAAAGCTTATGTACGTTAGGTAAGCCAATGACGTGGAGCATTGGTTTGAGGTGGCTTGTTAGCCGACAGTGAGTGATCGGAGCCTAGTAGAATGAGGGATAACAATCATAATTAATTTTAGTGTTTTTTCAAGAGATTATTTGAAGTGAAAAATGATTTTTTTTTAGAAGTTAAAATTAAAGAAGATGGAAAAAATTATGAATTCACGTATAAAATTATTTTATTAAAGGAATATATAATTAAAAATAAGTTTGAAAAGAAATGAAGGTAATATAAGTTGTGCCAAACAAACTATGAAACAGAGAAACATCCCTACTTGGAATTAATATGGGGAACTTTTCTTCCGAACTATCTAATCACATAACAAACCTCACTAGGGTGTCTTATCATGCATATATTTATTCCTGAACCATTAATTATAAGCTCATCTCAATTCCTCATTTTTCCTTCAGGTAATGATTAATTTGAGAACTCAAAATTGCTTATCTTTTAATCCATTATTCCGTTGAAGCCACTATAGGGGTATCGATATTTAAATCATTTCATATAAAAATTTAAGCAGTTAGAAATAGCCAAATATTATTTTCATCAGGTTCTCACCTGCAAACATGATTCTTTTTTTCTTTCTTTTTTTTCAATGAAGCCTGTCGCATGCACAATTTCATTAAATGAGTGACGATGAGACTTGAAAAACTTGAGATCTTTGATAACTTTGATTCTGTGGTACACAGTGAGTCTTTCTCTGTTGGGCACCCTTAAGCACCAGAGTCAAATCAAGTTGCTTTTAGTTTTAACTTTTACAAGAGTGGACTAAATTGCGTGTATAATAAAAAGTCACGAATCCTGAAGAGTGAAGACCTTCCGTCCACTGACTACAAGATAGAGACCGCAGCCAAATTTTTCTTAAAACTTTAACCAAACAGTAGTGTGATTAATCTCCTGTATATTCAGTGGCAAACATACCTTTTATATCGCAAATAGGATTCTTGAAATTGATAAGTAACATTTTCTTTGCACAAATTTAATTTTTCTTTTTGACAATGCAATAAAGGAAATGTAGACTACTTAATTTTCATCTTTATAAATCCTTAACGCTGAAATGTTAAAAATACATAAGTAGCTTCTAAGCATTAAATTTTGGGAACTCTTTTGGGATCATGGCATCAGATTTGCAGAAAAAGCATTAATAATATTGATCCAGTTATCGTCGTCCTCTTCATCTTCCTCTATACCCGCATGATCATAATGACTCTGAGTCGTCTTCTCCGTTTCATCATTCCTCGCGAATCTCCCCCTGATGCGCGGTCGACTATCTGCTAGTGTCTTCCTACATTCATACTGTGACACACAAACTTAGGTAATTAATATCATAAAGAAATTGATTAAAATTTAGTGATTTCGAAGTTAATTATGTACCCCTACAATCTAAGGACGTAATTTGTCTTTGCATTCTGGTGTCATCAATATATAAGAAAGGCAAGTTCGGAAAATTTTATAAACCTTGATCCTCTTGTTGAAATTCCTCAAATTCCTCTTGCTTCTGTATCTCTCAATTCTCTCTTTTTTCTCCTCAGGACTGTATCGGCAGGGTTTGTTCATACTTTCTATGATAATGCTGCTATCATTTGACAATGGACTATTGAAACGCTGGTTATGTTGTGCCAAATTTATGCCCTGTTACATTATGCAAAAGCAACCACGTAGATACATGATTAAAGAAGGAAAAAAGTTAAATTATTGTATGTTATATAATGTACAGTACTATAATTAATCTCCACTAGGGACCATAGGAAGAGTACCCTCGATGTGACGGGTGTGTTTGGCTTGACTTTTGAAAAGTTAAAAGAAACTTTTAAGATCTAAAATCTGTTTTTGATAGTTAAAAGAGCTTTTAGAGGAATTTGATTTAATGTGACTTCTTTTAAAAGCACTTCCAAAATATGAAGCACCTTTAAAAATTAGTTTTTGATAAAAATTGAAGTAATTTCCTTGAAAAGCTCTCCTAGAAAGCAAAAACAAAAGTAAAAGTCATGCCATACGGTCCTACGTCTATGTTGTTGCAGTTGGGTTTTAATGTACAATTACAAAGTTTCATGCCTCTCACACACTCAAAAAAGGCCCTCTAAACAACTTTTGTATGTATAATAGGAATATTAGGTCGATTAGCAGTAGAAGGAACGAAATGTACAGTATGATTCAGAAAATCCGACATAGAAAAAGCTGGTGTATTACCTGCAAATCACCAGTGCTTAAAACCTTCCTGACCGGGGATGAATCCAGTTGAGAGTAGCCTTCATAGTTTTTCTGAAGAGAGTGGCTACTGATGCTCCGTTGAATCAAAGTTGAAGTGTGTGTTCCATAACTGGTTATTGAAGCGGGAGAGCCAATATAACTGCTGCATCCACTGCTATCGGATTTGAATGCCGAAAGGGAGTCAAGGTTGTTGCTCGGAATTGTGAGATGAGGCAGGATTAATGGTTCAGTAGTAGTACTAGTGATGTCTGGTAATGGAAAATGGCCTAAGTTGTTATAAGAAAATTCATTACCAATGTGTCCATACATGGTGTGTATTTACTAGTGAGAGAGAGGGGAAAGCGGAAATGAATTTTTGGTTTGATAAAAACCAAGAAGTGTATATGCAGTCTTTTTAAAGGGTTTGAACAAGCTGGAAGGTGACGTGGACGATGACGTCATTTTACATGGCGTTGACTTTCTTTTTTTTTCATTCCATAGTGTTCTTGGACTTTGTCGTGGTGGGAGAGAATGGTTCAAGCACGAGGAGAGGCTCATTAGTTATATAGCCAACATTTTAGAAGAACTTATGCACTTCTCGATGTGTAGTTAGTAGTTAATAGTACATTATATGATGTTATGAAGAATCTAGTCCACGTTTCAGAATCCAATGTCAACAAGCATTGAGCTATTTATGTGATTGTGAGCTAGGTATATAAATGATCCACATTTTATAATTAGACATTGATGAACACATTAAACTGTCCATGTTGCTAAGGGTTCTCATGACCATGCATAAAGACACAATTATCGCAATTGCACTCTACCATAGAATAAAAACAAACATTTCATATTAATTTTCATGTTTGATCTCTTGTATCCTTGCCTTACTAATCGTTACCTATGTTGAGGAAACTTTTGGGAACTTATAAAAAATGAAGAGGGCCAAACCTATCCTCTCAATTATTCTTTTCAGGCCTCAGTTGTAGTGGGTGTGTCATTTTTAGTAGTTCCTTATTAGGACTTTGCTGTCCGTCCAGAGGCGCTGAATTCCCGGGGGGGGGGGGGGGGGGGACCGGGG